GAAAAAAAAAAAAGAGTGAAAGGTAGAGAGGAGGAGAGAGTCTGCCTTCTGTATTTTTGCTCAAGTATCCATAAACAAACACAGAAAAGACCTCTCTCGTGATTATTTTACTGTGCTGTGAAAACCACAGTGTTTTTTATGTCTATTTTCATGATTAAGTCTTTTATATATTTATGTAAAAAAAAGGACAACATTAAAACAGCTAAGCAAAGAACAAAGAATGGACTCATTAAAATCAGCTATTAGATCACATTAAAATTTACCTTCAGAATATAGGTGTTTCTGTTCTAAATGATCCAATTTCTTCCCTGAGTACTGCTGTCTTTCTCCTTTCTATGTAATGGCATAGTCAAGCTTCTCTAGCGTTACAATTATATTTATGCCACAATATTATTTAAGATGATCTAGATAGCACACTGTTCAAAATCTGGTAGCTAATCCTAAAAACAATTTTGTTTCAGCAACTCTCCTAAACAGTTCCAGATTATGTTATTGTTAAAAGCAAGATATATGTAGAGAAGAGCCTTGATGTGCAAAAGAACACACCGAAGGAGAACAATGGCTGATTAGATGGCACACAGAAAAATAAGAGGACTGAAAATGGCAGTATCGTTAAATTGGAGAGGAGACAGGTGTTCTTTACAAAGCAGAAATTTTAGAAACCCTATATCCAGAATAAGACAGAGTATTAAGAGTTAGGCCAAGGGTAGGAGCAATCTGAACCATTTGAGGAGTTACCCTCACTTCTGTGAACGGTAACTTCATTATGTATTGTCTGGGATACCTGAACAAACATATCTTCAGCAAAAAAATTAAAATAAAAATAAAAAAATTTAAGGTTAATAAATGAATAGCTTGTAGTCAGATCTAGTCATTCAGTTTGCTGTACTGACTGCTAACAAAGAGAGAGCTGATGTCTCTACTCACCATGGCAGCTGCGGTGGCTGCTGCCTGAGCGGCTGCAGCCTGGTTGACCTGGTATTGGGCAGCCTTGATCTTGGCTTGCAGATGTGCAGGAGGATGAAAGTATTTGCACTTTTCCCGTGAGCATCTCCCTTTGATGTAATCCATACACACGGTCACTGTGTTGTCATTGGTGTCAATCATTGTGCTGTCAGCGGGATGAGCAAACCGGCAATCGTTTTCTCCTCTGTTGCAGTTGCCACGCTGGTACTCTCGACATACCTAGGAGGTCATTAAGTGCATGGGACTTGGTCAACAACGTGGGCAAATGCGATCTTTCTGGAGAGTTTAACTTAAAGGTGGTAGAGGGCTACACGCGAAAGGGGAAAAGACCATTTGCAAAAAAAAAAAAACAAAAAACAAAAAAAAAACCACAAAATAACTTGAAGAGTTCCTCCTTCGGTGCACAAGTTATAGCCCCATTTCAGTAAAATTTCTGTGAGGAAGAAAATACTAATACTAATTTAATACTAATTATGGTAAAGCATCTAATTTATACTATGTTGATGTATTTATTAATTACCGAGGGAAAAAGAGTAACTTTACAGTGAAGCCACCACTTTATTTTTTTTATAGTTCTTTTTTTTTTTTAATATATGAAATTTATTGTCAAATTGGTTTCCATACAACACCCAGTTCTCATCTCAAAATGAAGCCACCACTTTAAGCAAGTGATCAACATGAAGATCACCAGTAGGAAGACATAATGGCATTGTGTATCTACTGATGGGTAGGACACACTGGACACACCACATCACTTTCATTGTATCGTGGCTGAGAATGCATAACTGGCATTTAATCATATATGTTTTCACTCTTATGTGGATCCTGAGAAACTTAACAGAAGACCATGGGGGAGGGGAAGGAAAAAAAAAAGTTAGAGAGGGAGGGAGCCAAACCATAAGAGACTCTTAAAAACTGAGAACAAACTGAGGGTTGATGGGGGGTTGGAGGGAGAGGGGGGTGGATGATGGGCATCAATGCCCATCCCAGCACTGCTGGGATGAGCACTGGGTGTTGTACGGAAGCCAATTTGACAATCAATGTCATCTTAAGACAAAAATCATGAGGAAATATTGGACAAACTGAAATGGAAGAATGTTTTACAAAAGAACTGATCAGTGGTCATGAAAGGCAAATAACGATGATAAACTGTCAGAGACTGAACGATCCCGGGGTCAGAGAAAGGAGGTTTGTAGGACAACTGGTGAAATTTGACGGCAGTCTCTAAATTGGTTAAGAGCAGAATATCGGTACTAATTTGTTTTGTAAGCGAGAACATGGCCATGCAAGTTGTTAATACTTGGGTAAGAAGGATAGGCAGGAACTCATGGTTCCGTTTTTGCAACTGCTGTGAGAATCTGAAATTATTTACAAGTATAAAAAGTAAAATCTGATAGCTTTGTAGTCAAATGTTTCCAAGAGCTAATTTTTTTTTTTTTTTTTTTTTTTTTTTTTTTTTTTTTTTTTTACTCTTAGAGATCCTTGGTAGCTATATAAAGCAGATGGAAAAAGATTCTTGTTTATTTGCTTTATACCTATTAATTTTGGATGGAGTCCCTGGGGAAAGGGTCCAAATGGATTATTTCTCATGTGTTTGCTCCATTTTGACTCTTATTATTAAAGTTTGTCATGAGGGCTGCTCCAAGCAGGAGTCTGCCAGCACTGTCTTCATCTGGGATAGTGTGACCTTTTTACCACAAGAGGGCCATCTAAAACACAGAATGTCCTTTTTAGTATTTTCATGTTCCTGCTTCTTGTTTCACACAAACAGTTTTTATTTTTCATGTTGTCTTCTCACAAACAGAAAATACACAGATCCCAAGCATTTTATTTTGCAGTACAGCAAGGAAGTGAAATGGGAACCCTGTTATGATTCAAAAGGCACAGGTTTTCTTGGATATGTGTACATAAAATGATCCCATTTAATTCTAGGTACTTTTCTCTATTATATTCATATCCCATTACTGAGCAAAGAGCTTCTTTTAAAAAATACCACTATAATTTGTATCATGCCACATCTTAAAACAGCATTATAAATGACATCTTGCACTATTTTTAAACCTCAAGCTAGCTGAAGCTTTGTATTCCACATACACAGCAATGAGCCAACTTTATTCATCATCTCATTCACTTTCTTCAATTAAAAAATATTACTGAATAAATGCTATAGGCCGGACACTCTGAGAGATATTAAGACTACAAAAATGACTTAGGAGCCTTTTTACAGAAGAGCCTTTTTCTTCTTCTTCTTCTTCTTTTTTTTTTTTTTCTCATTGCATTTGTCTTCTTGAACATAAGAAAACAACGATAACCAGGAGTTGATAATTTGAAAGTGATTAAGCCGTTATCCAGAACTATTGTCCTCCACACTGGCTGGGCACCAGTGTCAGTGGCAAAGCTTTCTACACCACAAATCCCCAGTCCCTAACCAACACTTACTGAATTAGGCTCATCAAAATAGACAGGAATAGAGACACACTTAAATGAGAATAAAAACTTTTCACGTATGTATATGAAATTGATGCTACATTTAGACTATCGCATGAACAAAAAGGCTGTTTTTCCACATAAGCAAATCTACGTCAGTGTAGTCTCATGCAATAGAAAACTGTATGTGACTGCACACTTCTGGGATGAGTTCTCTGGTAATTCCTGCTTTCTCGAACGTACTCACAAAGAACCTGGCAGCAGGTGAACTAACACCCTGTCTTTCAATTTATCTTACTCTGCGCCACACCGACAAGAAAGATCCAAAGGTGAGCTTTTTCAGAACTATTAAAATCTAAGATTTGTTATTTTCCAAAAACAAGTAGGCTTAGGCGTGCCTGTGCCAGAAATTTGAGCATCATTCTCCCAAAATAACAACCTGGGTGCTGGGCTGATTTTGACTTTTTATTTCTCTTTCTGTCTCAACATTATTTTTATTTTCAGTGATATAAACTTACATTCAGATTGCACACAAATGGTCTTCATTTAATGTTTTTATTTATTTAGGAGAGAGAGAGAGAAAGACAGAGCACAAGGTGGGGAGGGGCAGAGAAAGAACGAGACACAGAATCCGAAGCAGGCTCCAGGCTCCAGGCTCCAAGCTGTCAACACAGAGCCCGATGCAGGGCTCAAACTTATGAACTCAGAGATTATGACCTGAGCTGAAGTTGAAGGTCTAACCGACTGAGCCACCCAGGTGCTTCTACAAATGGTCTTTCTAATACACCTTCTCATTCCTGTCCATCTGCTTTATACGTGTGTGTGTGGTTCCTACAGGTTAAGGAGTGGTTTCTTATCATTTTCTACTCTTTGTATCTTGCAAGATGCAATTCAGGAGAACTTTAAGTCTATCTAAGAAGAATTGATAGTTAGTGTTCCACTTAGAATTTGTCCTAAAACTAGCCTTTTCAAAGTTTCAAAGAATGTAGTCAACTGCTTTTGTACGATATGCATTTTTTTACTTGTTTTTATTTTTTTCTCACTTAAAGTGCTCCTGACATGAGAAATGGAACAGAAGAAATATACTGAGATAGCTGTTCTCCCATTATTTTTGCCCTTGAAAAAATAAAGAAAAACAATGGAAAATCTCCTGTGAAAACTTGTACTGCTAAGAGCTGTATACCAGAGGGGCCAGAGGGGTTTGCCAAATGCTGGATGTGTGTCTATATCATTGGTACCTACCTGAACAGAACAAACTTCCCAACGCTTTGAAAACACCTTTTTCTCTAATAATCATCACCAATAAAACAGGATCCATCCCTGGACTGCTGAATTTGAGTTTGGCCTGGTTTCTCTGAGGAACTCAGGAAAACTTTAGACTATACTGATCTTCAAAAGAAATATCTTAGGTGTGGTTTCATATTAGCAAATTATAACTGGCGGACAAGCTTCAATAAACTTAATCTCGGAATTCAAATCAGGATAAGAAATTGTAGGATTTACCATATGGAGAATTTAAAACACAACAGGTAAAATTAAGTTTGAAAATCCTTAACAACATTGTGGTTCTTTTTGCTTTTCCAATCCAGTCTTCTGCATGCACACATTTTTCAAACAGTTGTAATTATGGTATAGCTACTACTTGGTGACCTGTTTTTGTTCAACAGTGCATGTAAGCATTTTTTAAATTTTACTAAAATATAGTGTCTAGAGTGATCATTTTTGATGGCTGCATTGAATCCCATCAAACAGATGTGCAGAATACAGGTAACTCTAGCAGAGATCATCTAGATTATTTCCAATATTCTCATATTACAGATAACATTGCAAGGGATATATTTATGAACATAGACATTTAAAAATCATTTTCTAAAGTTACATCTGCAGAAATGGCATTAGCGAGTCAAAAAATATAAGCACTTTTTATAGTTTGGTAAACGGTTTTCAAACAGATTAAAATAATTCCACCTATTTAGCTAAACACATAATGTGTTTCAATCAAAAAAAATGTTGAATCTTTTACTCTACAAACATTAAGGCAGGATTTGTCTTTAAATCAGATAAGTTTTATAAATTTTCATACGAAATAGGTAAGAGGTTGTGTTTACATTAAAAGCCATCATTTTAATGAAGATATTCACTGAACACTTTTATTTTTTTACTTATTTTTTTAACATTTATTCATTTTTGAAACACACAGACAGAGAGAGTATAAGTGGAGGAGGCCAGAGAGAGAGAGGGAGACACAGAATCTGAAGCAGGTTCCAGGATCTCAGCTGTCAACACAGAGCCCGACGCAGGGTTCAAACTCATGGACCGCGAGATCATGACCTGAGCTGAAGTCGGACACTTAATCAACTGAGCCACCCACGTAACCCTCACTGAACACTTATAAATATTAAAATCCATTTCCAGAACCAGCTATTCCATAATTATGGAAAATTAAAAGTACTTAGAAAATCAAAAAAATCAAAAGTACTTAGAAAAATTCCCAAAGGAATGTGATTTAATTCTATGTTAACTTTTTTTTTTGTTTTGTTAATTAAACAGCAGTGGTATAATGAAAAGAAAATAGAGTTTAGAATCAGAAATTGTGGGTTCTACTTAGTTCCTACATTTACCAGCTATGGAATCATGAATACCAAGAAAGATAATGTATAGATTAGCTGAAAACACACAATACAAGTCTGGTTAAAATAAACAGTTCTGTTATTTGACCTCTAGGTTTTTTTATGAATGTGACAAACCTATTTCAAAATGGTCAGAATAATAACAGGTTTTATAACTATTAT